ACCACTTCAAATAGGTGTGGTTACTGTTGCGAGTCTTAACTCCCTTCCTGGGCTTCTGTCAGCCGTGGAGAGCACAAAGGAGGTATCAGGCTGTCACTGCATGAGCACACAACCTGCATCAGTAAGCCTGTTTTAATTCTGGAGACATTGTAGCTAAGAAATATTTAAGCCTTTGAAGAGACTGCTCTTCTGAGTCTGGGAATTCCGGGGTAGTCAGATGTACTCCTTTTGGCCTGGTGCTCTGAACCACCCAGTTTATCTCAAGGGAGGGATTCGTGCCGACTGATGACCAGGACAGCCGTCCCTCCCATTACTTCTTTCTGTAAATTTACTTTTAATTAAATTTTAAAAAATATTAATGTTACATGGTAAACAGAGTTAAAATAGTACAAAAAAATGAATATACAATGAAAAGTTAAACATTTCTATTCCCAGTCTGACCTCATAGAGTTAATCATTGATAACAGTTTCAGATTTAGTTATATTAATAAAGTGTTTCTCAAGTCGTAATTGGTGTTTCTGCCAGTACTGTACTTTGTTGTGTGGGATTGTCCTGAACACTATTTAACGTTTAGTGCCCCTGTTCTCTAACACAGCCACTGGGGCATCAGAAATGCCCCTGCACATTTCTAAATGTTCCTTGGGTAGAGGATGGTACTTACTCTCAGTGAGAACATTGTAATTTTTAAAGTTGTACCATGTGTCTTGGAAAACGTATGTCAATTTTTTCAGCTTTACACAGTAACTATTGACTCTGCTGTAAAAGAAGAATATTTGAGCACACATGCACTTCTCAAGGGAGGCCCAGGGAAAATCCACTTGGGAAGAACCGTACTTAGCTCTAATGTCTTGGCTTACGTGTATTCAATCTTATCTGCTTTCCTTTATGACAGTATTACTTTCTTGTGTTCTCAATTACCTGTCGTCTTTGTTTTGAGTTTTTTTTGTGATATTTGAATTGTGAGCTCATGGTTGGCTGAGTTTTATTCAAGGGATCCTGAGCAGCCTAGTTAGAGGGCACATCCCTCCAGGGAAGATTTGCTGAGGCTTTTCTTTGGCTCCTTTGTGGTTTCTCTGCTTGGGGTTTTCAGAACTAGGCAGGTGTATTAGAGCCCGGAATCCTTAAGAGTAGGCTGTGGTTACAAATACTCAGATGATGTTTCTCCCCCAATATGGAGTCCAACCTGAGACAGGCTAACTTCCTCGTTGTCTTCCTTGACCAGCAGGCACATCTGTGCCAAGCCAGTCTTTTACAACGTGGGGTAAGTCCTGTAAGGTCCCAGCTTTATATGGAGGAGTCTGGGTGGCAATTCCCCATCTTGAACAGACCAAGGCCCACACTGCTGCCTTTGAACTGCTAGGTACTGAAATCTGCAGACACCGCAGGGTGGCCATGACTTCAGCACCTGCCTGCCAGATTGTTTGCGTCCTCTTTGTGTTGGCCCATGGGGATTTTCTTGGGGACTTATTTGTGTATTTGAGAGGATGTTTTTGGTATTTTAGTTAACATTTCTAGGTATTGGTAAGTGAGAGAATTACTGTCAGATTACCAAGTCTATCTTTTTGCTGGACATACAAGCCTCATTCATCTGCTTTCTAACTTCTAGGAATGTCTAAAATTTCTGGTTTGCTAATCTCTTTCTCTTTCATTTCTCTCTCACCTCCAGTATTGTCGGCATTTTATTCTTTTTAAAAAGTATCTTCTCTGTCATTTCAGTGAGACCTCAGGAGGGAGGAAATGTAGGCACGTGTGTTCCATCTTCCATTTTGTCTAGAAGCTTGTCTAATAGTGTTTAGATCTAAGACCATTAGGGCAAACTGACCTGATGAAAAGTAAGTCTCTGTAAATGCCTTTTCATTTAACTGTGATTTTTAAGTTTGAACTTAAAGAACGTGATCTTTGCCTATTAAAGAGTTGAAAGGGCGGAGATGGAGGATGAAGTTCAGACCATTAATTGTGCAGTTGAGCAAGGCCTCGCTGGGCTGGGGAGCAGTGTGGGGATCTTACCATAAAGTCCAAATATATAGGGCAAATTACGTTACAATGATGAGAAACCACAATTTTTAAAGTGACATGCAGTAAATATTAACTGCAGGATGTCTGGCTTAATGCTAAGAATTACAGTTCAAAACAGATAAGATGCCGTTTCTGCCATCAGAGAGCCCGCTAATTTTGTGGCGGAGGCAGAGGTATAAATGAAAACACAGTCGATTCTCATTGTTCATTAGTGCTGGTAGTTATGTTCTATAAATTCTCTTTGAACCCCGAATTAGTGAATACTGAGCCATTGTTTCTAGGGGAAATACAGGTTAGGTTCCTACCAGCCTCTGACCACATTTTCAGTGACTGGTCAATACATATCCTTGTTTTACGTGTGTTTCTGTTTAAAGACACCTTAGTATATATTGTTGATTCATTAACATTGAATGGCCGACAGCACTATAACTCATACCTGAAGAAAGCTCCCTGAACATGTATTTTCCTCCTAAGGCACATCACCAGCCTCCCTGTTCTTACGAACACTAAACGGCACTTAAACATTATGCTTGGGAAAATTTTAGACAGTGAAATCCCCACAAAAAAGCACGAAAATGTGAAACACATGGCACTAAATAGACCATGAAAAGGATGCTTGTTTTTAGTGTGAGAGCTGAAACAAGAAGGCAGAGCATCACCTTATTGATCTAAACTGGGGACATACACACAGTAGGCACATTTTTTTTTTTTTTTGCTACTCTCTGCCTGTCTGCAAATGACCACAAATATGGTGAGAATATTGACTTTGAGGTTAAATATAAATTTTAGCAAGTAGGTGAATTCACAAATACAGAATCCATGAATAATGAGGATCAACTGGACTATGTCTTAAGTGCCATATATTCTAAATCTGCTAGGATGGGTCAGGAAGGGCTTCATTTGAAGTCACAGCAGTATGAAGCAATGGATTTGGGGAGTAGCAAATGGCCTGGTGTGGCTGGAATTAAAAGCCCCTCCAAAGAGGAGCAAGAGAGGATGTTGGAACAGTTAAGGGGGAGATGTGAGGCCCTTATGCCATGTTAAGGAATTTGGATTTCGTAGGTGATGGGGCCTCAATTAGTGAATGATTTTAACAAGGGAAGAAACCTGGTCGTATTTTGTCTTTTGGAAAGCTCACTCTGATGATGATATTGGGGATAGATGAAGTAAGGAAAATAGAAGGTTGTAAAAGTTAAGGTGAGAGATGATGAGAGTATGAACTAAGTCGGTGACAATAGAGACAGAGAAAAAGGGATATATTTGAAAGCTATGCAGGAAATCAGATTGAAAGGTCTTGTTGGCAGATTAGATAGAGGGAATAAGGGAGGTTGAACAGGCATGCCTGGATGCCATTGATTGAGATAGGGAATACTGGAGGCAGACCAGATTTAGGAAGTAATGCAATAAGTTTTGCGCATGTCGCATTTATGGTGCCCATGGGATATGTTTGCAGAGATTAGGCAAGGAGATATGAGTCTGAAGCTCAGGAGATAGAACTTTGAGAGACATTAGCACATATTCATTAAATTGGTTGATGAATATCTGAATGCCCACTGTATTTCAGGCACTGTCCTGTGCTAGAGGAGATAGAACAATGAGTGAGTTTCTGGTGAGGGGAGACAGACAATAAGCAAAGGTACTCTCAGATCAATACTGTGATGAAGATAAAACTAATAGGGAGAGTGATGAGGGGGTGTGTGAGCGAGGAGAGCTGGTTTAGACTGAGGGTTTGGGTTCACTTTCTGGGGAGGTGACATTTATACTGAGACAAAAATGAAGAGAATAAGGATGTACGAGTAGATATCTGGGAAGATCATTTCAAGCAGAGAGAAGAGAAACTGGTAAAGATGGGAAATAAACTGGGCATGTTCGGAGAACACCAGGAAGGCCAGTGTGACTGGAGACAAGACGAGGGGGAGAGAGTTGTAGAAGATGAACTCAGCCGGGTACACAGGCTGCCAAATCATGACAGCTCTTGTGAGCCACGGTGGAGAGTTTGGATATTTTTCTAAGTGCAATGGGAAGCCTTTGAACACTCTTAACAGAAGAGTAACAAAATCTGTTTTATGTTTTAAAAGGACAGCTCTGGTCACTCTGGAGAATATTGTTGAGAAATAGAGTGAAAGTAGGGGACCAGTCGAGTGACTGCTGCAGTGAATGGGCAAGAGGTGGCGGTGGCTTAGAGTAAAAGTGATGGCAGTGGAGGGATGAGAGGCAGAGTTTGAATCAGTTACTTAAGATTACTTTTTTTTCTTCAGTCGCCCCATCATGGCTGAATTTAAGAACCAGTTTATCACTGGATCTGTTAGAAATTCTAGGTATTTTTGTCAGTGCATATATAAAATGTTATCTTGAAAAAAGAAAATATTGATGACATTTATTAATCCAGTTTTGAGATTCTAAAAAATTCAAATTTGCTTATTTAATACAATCCAGCATATATATTCATATTTCATGTTTATTAGCACTTATTAGTTGTGTGAAAACACTTCCAGACAGTTCTGCTGGTTCACTTGTAATACTGCATATTTTATTATAGTAAACTAATGAAGCTTTGGCCTGCTTTGTTAATTAGTGGTTAGGTTAATAAAAATCTATTCAAAGCAGGCCTACTACATGGTGACAGCAAGTTAGGAGTAGCACTATTTGAGCTGTTGGAAAAGACTCTCTGGAGATGCAGCTCTTCTATGGCTGAGGTCTGCACTTGAACCAGATACTTGTGGACATAGTGTGGAGCAGGGACTAGGGTGGGGAAAGGCCGGGGAGCAGTAGACCAGTTAAGAGGCTTTTAAAAAGGTCTAGGCAAGAGAAGATAAAAACTCTAAACCAAAGGTTGGAGAGTGGAAATTGTGATAAGGATGAATTTGAAACTTTTATGAGGCAGAAAGAAAAGATTTGGAGGAGAATTAGATATCTGGAAGCTAGGGAGAGGAAAAAACTCAGATGATTCTGAGATTTTAAGCTTTGCAGAAAGAGTGGATGATGATGTCATAATAATGAGAGCTAGAACCTGCAGTAGGAGGAGTAGGCTTGATTAGGGCGAGTGAGCAGTTTTGAAGATGATAAAGTAAAGGCACCATCTTTGGGACTCCCAGGGGAAGTACGTTAAGAAGGCAGTTGGAGAAAGGTGAGTGTGTAACTAAGATTTGGAAGTCATTCAACTGGTTGAAGCCCTAGAAGCGGATGAGATCACTAAAAAAAAGAATGTCAACCTGAGGGACGCCGACAGCAGTAATGAGGACAGAATATGTGATTGATTTGTCAGTTAGGTCATTCCTAAACTTATTTAAGAAGTTTGAGGAGGGCAGAAGCTGATGGGAAGTGTGGAGAACTGAAGAAATGATACCCAGCATGAGCTACTCTTTGGAGAAGGTTGATGTGGCGGAAGGGAAGTGGGATTCAGAATAGGGCTTTTTAAAAATTGTTACTGAAGGAGGAGGAAGATATTAGCACATATATAAATGCAGAAGTATCAAATGAAAAAATAGTGGAGTTACAGGAGAGGGATGACCCATAGCTGATGGTCTCACAGTGGGTGGGAGGGACTCGATTCATTGCACAGGCAGCAGCCTAGAGAGGAGGACGGCATATTTTCTTCCGATTTGAGGAACGGAGGTAAGGAGTGCTGCTGATATATTTGATTTTACAAGTGGAGGGGAATTTCAGTAAATCAGAAATGAAAGCCTCTTTTTCCCTTTTCCTTCTGACAAAATCATCTGCCGACAACTTAGTATAGTAAATATTTCAAATAGGGAATATGAGAGAGCCCAAGAAGGGGTAAGTAATAAATTGTGCAGCAATATTTGAGATCTCGCTGATTTTTAGAGAACCAGGGAAGTTTGAGCATATTGAAAAACCTGGGAAGAAGAATAGGCAGGAGGGCACTGAAATGGAGGAAAGAGCCGTGGAAAGCAGAGGTGAGGCGAGATGAAGACCAACATGAGTCCCTGACGATTTCATCTAGTCTGCCTGTGGTGTAGCCACGGCATTTGGACTGTGCTTTGACATTGCATGCAAGGACTCCCCGTGTGGGGAGCCTGTGTTCCCCTGTCTTCTTATCTAAGCATTCCCGCCCGGCAGGAATGAGTGAGTGGCATTATACCTTTGAGAAGAGAATGTTTCCCACTTCTTTTTCTCCATCAAAAATATTTTTTTGTGCTTATTTTTAATGCAGTGCCTTGTACCTACTTTTATGTCATGTTTTGTTCAGTGCTTTAAAGGCTGATGCCAGTAGAAGTGAACAGCAGCCTGAATGTTGAGTGAGATCATCTCACTCTTTTGAAAATTGAAAATATTCTTTATAGGTTTTTAAATACTGATTTTACGTGTTATATTTTAGTGTAATATTTGACTAAAATATATTTCATGCCATAATCTATACAGAGAGAATTTAATTAAGCATATCATCCAAGGACAACTTGGTTTTCCCCAGGCTTTCGCCTTCAAAAAGTCTGGTTTGTTTTTCACTCTAGAAGAATAGCTACAATTTTCTGATTTTTCTGAAAACTGATTACTGTTTACACATGGGAGATGTATTTTTTGTGTAGGTTTTTATTAAAATTGTTAAGCATGTGTAGGTGAAAGACCAACAATGCTCCCCTATTCTATTTCTTGCTCCCCAGAGGCTACTCCTTTGAACTTTTTAGTTGATTCTTTTGGCATTTAGCTCCATATCAGTAAATGGCATTTTTTAGTTTGATGATTCTTGATTTTTTGGTTTTAACCATTATGAAAGATGAAGATTTAGCTCTTTTTCCACTCTACCATATATGTATCATATACACTTCTGATCCCTTAATTCTCCCAACGTAATTATATTAGTAATTTTAATTAGATCAGTATTTGTTAATTGATCCATTGGTAAACTGCAGTTACCTGTTTCCATTCCTATATTTTTATTTTCTTGGAGTTAATAAGTATTTGCCTAGTTTTCCATATATACTACCTATCAATAATTCAACCCCAAAATCTCTGCTAGTTTTCTAAATCAATATGTTTATTCAAACTTATTGACTTCATTTTCTTGAAGATGTCACTCCTGGAGCCTTCTGACCTGTCCACCATGGATTCCTTACTCTCCATACCTGATATCCACTTGTCACCATCTTCCTGACAATCATCTTTGCCTTTCTCCTGGGTTGGGGCTTCTAGTTCCTGTATCTTGTATTTTCCCTTTTTCTATTTTGCCCCTATGTTTCAGGCTCAGAGGGCAGCATGTCTTTTTTTTTTTTTTTTTTTTTTATCTTTCTAAGAAAAAGTGTTTGTGGTAGATTAATTTCATGAAACTTTATAAGCAAGTCTGAAAATTATTTTTAACTATCCTCATGCTTGATAGTTTGGAGGGCACAAAATTTTAGGGTGGAAATGTTTTTAAATGCATTGTTTCATCATCTTTGATCTTTTAGATGCCACCACTGAAAAGTTAAAAGCATTTTGATTCCTGCTTCTTGATGTGTGAATGTATTTTTCCTTTTACTCTAGTGTTCTGAAATTTCACCATGATGTGTCTTGGTATGAGTCTGTTTTCATCTGTTTCACTGGGCACTCCATGCCCCTCTTAGTCTAGCAACTTACAGCTTTGGGTTCTGGAAAGTGTTAAGTATTTCATTAATGTTTTCCTCCCTCCATTTTTTCTCTTCTTCTTCCTGTAACTCCTCTTACTTGGAAGTCCTCTACTAGGTCCTCTAATTCCCTTCTCTTCTGTTTTTCACCTCTGTGGTGGTCTACTTTTTTTTTGGCATTTCCCCAAATTTATCTTCCATGATTGCTATTGAATTTTTTATTTCTGCTTTTGCATTTTTATCTTCTAAGAGCTCTTTTGTGTTCCCTGGATGTTCCTCTCCTATACCAATCTTATTCTAGTTTCATGCATACAATATTCTCTGAGAATTTTTAATGAATATTTATTTTCTGCACCCTGAATAGTTTCATTATTCCAGGTAGATTTTACCTGTGTGTTTATTCTGCTGTCTTTCATGTTATAAGCTTTTCCCAGCATCCAGTATCTCAAGGTTATTAGCGCATTGTTCAGAATGGAGAACTAAAAACTCAGAGCTCTGTTTGTCTGTTGAGCTTCTGTAGCCGTCTGCGACTGCATTGTTCGGGGGCGACGCCTGAGCTTGATGTCTGTCTTTCCTCCCAGGCTGGTCATATTCTCTAGAGAAGACTCTTCACATCTACCTGAAAGGTAATGACTAGGCTAAAGGAGGAGCTGATGGAGAGGTTGTCTCAATTATCCCATTTCCCATATGATTTCGTTGTCCTTTGTCCGGAGGCACTTCCTATCTTACTCTCTCCAGAAAATAAGCCTCTGGTTTTTAGACCTGCATGGTGGAGGGTGAGGGGTAGGCACCTACCCTGCCAGAAGGTTGGGGTTGAATCATTGATAAATAGTATTTATGAAAAACTAAGTAAGTAAATATTAACTCCAAGAAAATAAAAAGACAGGAATGGAGGAAGGTAACTATAGTTTACTAATGGATCAGCTAACAAATACTGACCTAATATTATCTGAGTCTCCTTATTGTAGTCTCCCTTATCTCAAGTTCCTTGTGCGGATAATTCCTGAGCCTTTGGAAGATTCTGTGTGTAAATGAAATGGTTTTCTGCTTTCCCCAAGGCTGGTGAGGAGTTTGGCCTCTTTGGGTCTGCTAAATCAGTTACTCCTTTGTCAGCTCCCAAAATGAACTTTTCTCTCATTCTCCCCATCTTTGTAAACGTATACCTTTAAAAATAAAATAAACTTCAGACACACACATCTTTATTACATTTTAGAGGGATTTTAGGTGAGAGCAAAATTAGATGAGTTCCATTTGGTTACCTGGAAATAGTGATATTTGTCCTCTTAAATAAAAATATTTGTTCATTTTACTTTCGTATTTCCATTTACTTTTCTTTCCAGCTGGACACTTGATTTTGTCCAATAAAAGCATACTGAAATTTTGGAGCTTGTCAGAGGGAAGAGATTCTGCTAGAAAACCATTGTTAATTTTAATTTTTAGTTATGCAACAGGTAAAAGGATCTGTGATGAAGAGGCCCTTCAGCTTTCCCTTCCAGAAGAAGATTGTTGGCTCTAGGAGCCACTTCAACCATCCATGCTTTGCTGCAATTGGAATTTTTCAGGAGACCTCTTGAAGACATGAATTGGCTTCTTTGGCATACTGGTACTGTTACAAACTCAAGCTAATCCCACAGTGACTTGATATTTTGCTTTGGTTTGTGTCAGGAGTTGATTATACAAAGTTTTGTCTCCAATTTTTGAACTGAAAGCAAGATAATAAAAAGGAAAAATAATTCAGAGCATTAGTCAAGCATTATATGATTTACATGACGTAATTAAAATCTGTATCTCTTATCACTCTTCCTTCAGCATTTCTTGCATTCTTGGTAATTGCTTTGAACCCTAAAAGATTACTTTAAGCAAAGAATATGAGAGAAAAAAAGATAGGTAATTTGAAAAAAAGGGAAAAGTTTTATATTTAATACATCCTTTCCTTTCCTTTCCGATGTCAGTAAATACACTTGATTCAGTAACTATTTACCTTTCACAATTCAGGGAGACAGAGATAATAAAATAGAGTGGTGAGAAATATCTTAACCCTCTGTTAATCTGTAGCATCCGTCACCTCTGGACCCTTCTGACTGCAAATAGTTTCTAATGGCCACTTCTGACTATTAATTTTGCTTTTATTTCAGTCAGCTATTCTTGCAAGCATTTATTTGTCATCTGCCATTCCTGAGCATGTTATTACTAGCAACTCATTTTCTTCCATCTTCCACTGAACTTTGCAACTGCTTCCAAGTGTCTCAAGGATATTTCTGATTCCATTACTGTGTCCACATACTTGGCATGGCAGTAGGAATGATGAGAGATGGGTGGTGTTGACCCATAAAAATTTGTCTGTCTCATCCTCCAGGGCTAAAATCATAATAAAGTCAAACTGCATTGTGGCAAGACTAGGACAAGAAACTGCATTTTCTCAGGCCCAGTGCCATCTCCACTGACCAAACTAGACTGTTGATGATTTTTCTTATGTCTGCCAGTTGTCAAAATGCAAGCCCTCAGTGACAGAACCCGGCTCATCATATTCCTATGCTCTTGGCCAGTCCCTTGCAAAATGTCCTGATTTGTTATCTTTCCAGTCTGTTGGACATTTTCCTCCTTTCTGTTTAGGGAAAATATTGAGATTGCTTTGTAGAAGGATCATGTATAGGAAATGCTGTTTATAATCTGTGATTATGACTGATAAAGATGAGCATGGTTGGGTCCAGTCAGTTGAACTGAATTCTTGGGGTTTTTTTTTCTCCTATTGACCCACCTCTGGCATGTCTCTTAAACTTTTGGGGCCTCATTTTTCTCATCTATAAAATGGAGATAATGCCTATCCCATCCAGCTTACAGCAATTTTTTGGAGACTAAAATGGGATAGAAAATGTAGGAAAAGGTAATAATAATCTACACACAAGATGGTTATTATTTGAACTCAGCGACTTAGAGCAACGCTTAAGATTCACTAAGTTAGGGAAAAGTGCAAAGATGAATACTGAAGTGACTAAGTGGGAGACAACGGACAACTACCTAAAAATGAAATTTAAGTAAGGTAGTCTGTCTATCTGCAGTGGTATGCAGGCATGATTCAATAATGGAGGAGTTGTAAAGAATGAAGGATTGTTAAGACTTCTACCAGTGATGCCACTTGATGGCTTTTGGTTAAATTAGCCTGTGTAGGTGTATATTTATATTAGCCGAGAAGTCTGAAAGAACTCTTATAAAAGAGGCTCCTTAAAGCAACAATAGTAAGAAATTCTTGCTCAGGCACTTAGTATAAATAGAAAAGATTGTCTTTTTATCATCTTACAATTGTGAGAGGATAATATAGTATTATAGGGGAGTAAGAAAAGTCCTCTGGCCTGATAAATATTTATCAGGAATCAATGTAGAACTTAATCCTTAGTAATCTCAAACCAAATACCCTGGAGCTGCATGTAGGAACTACAGTTTTCATTTCGTGTGTTTGGCTAAAAGTGGAAGGTAAAATTTTTTCATTTATTCCTGCAGTGTCTTGAAGGCTTTGTTTTCTTTTTGAAATCTATAAAGGTTGTGATTAGGGTAAAAATGTTTTGATAAAAATCTTATTTGTAGGATGAAAATTTAAAGAATTAGAAGTAGTTGTTAATGAGTTTCATTCGTTGTGATTCTTAACTATAGGCCTTAAGGAAGTCTTGTAACTTAAAATGCACCTGTTAAAGTTATTAAAAGGTATTATTTAATGTGACGTGGACAGAAATGGCTTACCAGGAAAGAAATCCATGATAAAAAGTACAAACTAATCCATAAGGCATGGCAATTTAAGGGATGAAGTGTTCTATATAAGGAGATTATCTTTGGAGAGACAAATCCATGACTTGAGAAATGAGGCTAAGCATTTTTGGCTAGTAAAATCTTGCACATAAGGGTACTTAATTTTATTAGGTAAAGTGGTTTTCTGTAATCCTTATGAATCTGTATAGAAATTTCTAGGAACACTCATGGTATTGACTCTCTGAATATACAGTTCACAGCTTGAGCAGCCCATTTGTTAAGTTGTGTTTGTTCCTCAGGTATACGTAAATATATTACTTCTGTAACAATTTTAAGATATTACCAGGTAGAGCCAAAAGCCTTTTTCACTACTTTTCCTTCAATCTCTGCTGCTTCCTCGCAGGTAATACCTGTTAATACTTTGTTTTCTATCTTTTCAGACCTAATCCCGTATATTTGCATATTTGTACCTGTGGAAAATATAAATAATTTTATTATGTGCTTCATTTCTATAAATATCACACAATATTGCCTTTATGACACTTGCCTTTTTCTACAGAAAAATGTGGTTTGGAGAGCTTTTTCACGGTAGTACAAATATAAAATCATGTTATTCTTTTAACCATTGCAGATTATTCATAGGATGGGTATTTAGCCATTTTCCTGTTGAGGAACATTGATATTATTTCTGTTTTTTCCCATGTTTTCCAATAACGTTGCAGTAAGCATCCTAAAAAATTGCCTCATTAGAAAAGCAATGTTACCAATTATCATGATTTCTTTCACTTGATAATAAGTTGTAACGATGAAGGTTTAGTACAATTAAAACTGTGAAAATCTGTTATTAAAAGGATTACATGAATTCCAGTAATGAAGAGGTGACAGTTCTCCTCTGCAAAAAGCAAATATAAAACTGGACAAAATTGTCAAAAACAGCCGTTCAGGGGCACTGGAAATTGACCAAAGGCAGTTAAAAAATGGATCTTGCACAACTGTTAGGGCTTGCGGTGAGAACAGTGTGAGTCTGTGGCCTTCTGGCCTACCTCTTCCCAGTTGCTTCTCCAGGCCACCCTGCAGGTGAGACCTGAGGCTTTAACAGTCTGGGACTGACTGAGAAAACCAGCAGCTTAGCTGCCAAAGAGTTGGGGGTGACTTGATTCAGGGAAGGGAGGAGTGACAAAAACCTGTCGCTTTGCTGGTGAAAAGTGGTGGATTTGGTTAGCAACAGATGGAGAAAACCTGCTGCCTTGCTAGTTCAAGGTTGTGGGGCTGGTTTGGTGTGAGCAGTGGACCAGCAGAAATTCAATAGGGAAATCCTAGAAATGAGAGAGCCCTGGAGGGGCTGAGATGAGCTCTCCACACAGCTCTGATTGACTTGGAAACTACAGATGTGGAGGGGAGACCTGAGGGAGCCTGGCAGAGTTTTCAAACCAAGGGAGCTGGAGAACTGGCTGCAAGTTTGAAAGCATTCCCCAGTCTATACACACGTCGACTGGCAGAGGGTGGAGGTCTTACAGGCTTGAGATGTTTGAGTACAGCCTTTGCCCAAGTCATTGGCTGACCATGAAGCTATACAGGCGTGGGCAAAACCCCTAGGGAGCCAGGCTAAAATATAAAAATAAGAATTGAAAAACTGAACAGAGATGTCCTGGCTGCATCAAATGGGGGGAAACAGATTCTGCAATTTAAGTTCAGATGAATTACTAAAAAAGACCCAATAACTCTGAAAAATAAAATGATCCAGAGTTACTGTAATATATTAAAGGTTTAGTTTTGAACCAAAAACTGGTGGACATGAAAAAAAAGAAAGAAAAGAAAAACCAGGAAAATGTGGCCCATAATTAGGAAAACAGTCAGTGGAAACCAAGTGGACTTGATGTTGGATTTAACAAAGAGTTGAAATTGGCTATTTTACATATGTTCAAAGAATTAAAGGACAATATTTTAACAACACTCAACAAATAGAGAAACAAATTAGAAAAGAAGAACCAAATAGAAATTTTAGATTTGAAAAGTACAATAATTGGATTGAAAAATTCATTGGATAGGCTCGACAGCAGATTTGAGGTGGCAGAGAAAACATGAAGATCAATAAAAAGTATTCAGTCCAAAGAAGAGAAAGAAAAAGATGTTAAGAAAAGTAAACAGAGCCTCAGAGACCTGTGGGACAATGTCAAGCAGTTCAACCTACATGTAATAAGAGTTCCAGACAGAAAGGAAGGAGAGAAAAGGACAGAAGAAATATTTCAAGAAATAATAGCACTGACCCACCCCAAATTTGGTGGAAAATCTCACTTATAAAGAGATGGTGTAGGCACACTACAGCTTGTCTCTCCCATAAATGCAGCTATAAACATTGGACAGAATACTGGAGTAGCTATTTGTAGGCCCTGAAAAGTCAATAATAGCAGGCAAGTTGGAGAAGACTAAGAATTTAAGTACCACCAAATCAATGGGGAGTTTACCTTTTTTCTTTTTTTTTTGCTTTGGTATCCCCTGACCTAGCCCAAAACTGGGCATCAGAGTGGACAGGGAGAACTCTAGAAACCCTCTAGTTCCGGCTTAAAGAGCAAGATGCTCAGCAAGAGTGTGGCATCTCTCTCTTGTTTTCTGTGTTCTCTCACACCCCAGCCCTCAGGAAGTCCTCTGGCAGCAGTGTTGAAGCAGCTCCGACAGCTGGGAGGACCTCAACTAGAACTCCAAGGGAGGAAGCCTTCCTCTTCAGTTGGAGGAGTTGTGGTCCCTGTTGTTCTTTTTCTTTCTGTGTTCTCTGGCCACCTGACCCAGGTCATGAGCATAGCTGTAGGAAGAACATGACAGAAATAAAGCCCAAGATTTCTGGCTGCAGGATCTGTAAAGAGC